CAATAGGCACGGATTAAGCACCTGTTTCACAATCAATGTAAATGGCGCAACAACACGCGATTTAGGCGACGGCAACGCCATCGGAGCTTTAAATGAAATGCAATGAAACGCAATGAAGCGAAAGATTGTCTGAGGTGATGAGAAAGACGTTGGAAAAAATGTGACTTTTAAGCCGGCATTGCACTGCAACATTCAATCAGCTACAGGTTTCCCTTCGGGAAGTAAAGGCTCTAGCATCATGATAGCACCAATGTATTATGTATTATACCAAATTACTTCTAGCTCCCTTACCCACCAGTCGTTTCTTCACCCCAACCCCCCGCCGTCCCCACACACCCCCAGTGTAAAAGTTGAACAGATCAATTGCCAGGTGGACAGAGGAAGTCTGTTGATCCTGTGCTTTGGAAGGAGGAGTCTCTCACTGAACATACTCCTCTGATTGCATGTAATCCAACCATGACATTCCATCAACATACCTAACAATGTTTGTGGTAATTGTTTCTTGCGATTGAATTCTTCAACATATGTCAACAAAGCTGTAGTACACACGCCAGACCTGTATATGGCATTGCTTCAACCCACTCTGTAATAATTATAATGTTCTATTCATGTAGTAATGAAGAGAGAGCCGCATTATTGTAAAGAAAAATCAAGGCTGTTAACTGCAATAAAATAACGCGATACAGAGGAACCCTCGTGAGATTAGAATAAAAATCTGCGATGTACTGATGGAACGAAAGGAGAACCACAATATAGAGAGGGACCACTGTACAGTAAATATGATTCTGCCTATGCAATGTGTTCAAACTTTTAACGTGGTTAAATTCAGAATTAATGAATACAATTAACACTGTAATTTCGACTAGGCCTGCACAATTAATCATTTTCATTGTCATTGCAATGTGAACGTGTATGAGAAACACATCACAAAATCTGGTCTGAAATGTCTGAAAGGTTTTGTGCAATGTTTTCACACTCAGCATGCTGACATTTGGCCAATCAGATGATGCCCAGCTCTGCTAAAGTTTCTGCAAGAACGGTAGTCAGAGGAGTAAAGAGAATGCCAGAAGCCAGATATCAGGGTGTTGAAAATTCAGGAGAAATGCTCCTGGCAAAAAGAATTGGCACCTCTGCAATTTTGGCAATACTAGAAGACGATTTACCTCCATCACCACCTGCCGCATCACCATAAAGCTGCAAAAGCAATACAAGGCTAGTCAATCTAGAGTTGCAGTAATGTAACGAGAGCATCACAGCAATAACAGTCCATTGTGAGCGTGACTCCATCTGAAAAGTCCTCTATCCCTACAATGAAATAACAGATGACATGACACTATTTGGCTAAGTACATTATTAATAGTGATGTACCAAATTTTCGGCCACCGAAAATGGCCCTAAGGTGCATTGGCTGAAAGACTTTTATCACCAAAACAACACAGCCCAAAACAGGAAGTTATGATGATGTAAGCTGTGGCCAGTGCAGGCCTGTCGGATATCCGAAGTCTTTCTTTTTGACTAGGCAAAACAGCGTTAGCGATATCTGCAATACATATCCAGCTTAGTGTTTAAATGTTAGAATGGCTTGTCGTAAGTACCAACATGTCTGCGGTGTGGCCATATAGCGATTTGCACACTTTTGGGGTGACATAGAGTCTGTCAGCACACATTTCACTGAGATCTATTTGGATTCTAGTAGATTATATTTGTGAGTCTGTTATCAAACTTGGCCCTTAGTATGGGGTGCCATCACGGAAAAATATTACTGATGGTCCACTGGATATAAAAAATGTGTTTTTAGCCAGTTAGCATGTTGCATATTAATGGCAGACTGGCATCTATAGCTTGTGAGCAGTGTTATAGCACGATGCTAGCATATTGCAAATTAGTCATGTGTTGGCAGTGCACTAGCATGTAGGCCCTGACCTGGTTTTTTGTATTTTGTTATGAGAGCCAGTCCTGACTGAGGCAATGTCGAGCTAACCCTGCTATCACAACCACATCCAATCACACTTTTAACAGACAGATCTGAATTATGGGAGATGTTGCCACCTACTGGGTCTATTTTCCACTTATAAATATTTCATCCTTCTCTCTTGTAACAAAAAAGAAAAATAAGAACAGAAAAAACAGATAAAAACGTTTTCCATTTTACTGTAAAAATAACAGTTATGCCAATATTAAAACTGTATATGTTTCATGTAATACATTAATTCACACTCTATTGCAGGGTGAGTACATTTACAGTAATGTGTTTTTTTTTACATAAAAAATGTACTTAATGTACTTAGACACACCCCGTACGTTTACTATATATTACTACAACAATACACCAGTTAGTAGAAATGCACTACAGTAGTTCTTTATTTTTGCTTGTTTCAGATTTCTTTTTAAATGTGCCTTGACAATACCAGTTTTTACCGATTCTGATTTCCGATTCAAAGCCTTGCGTAAAATACGAGACTACGATGATTTGTCCCAATAATCTAGATGATACAGAAGTGGAACTCTTGGGCTATAAACATAAAGATGTTCGAAAAAGGGGAGAGAGGCATGTAACAGAAAGAATACTCTACTCACAGCAAAAAAATATATATATATATATATATATATATATATATACACACATATACATACAATGGGGCTTCCAGATACAAGCTACCCGAAATGTTTCCAGTTTTCCAAGTTACAATTAAGCAACTTTTGCAAAATTTTCTTCATGATATGAGGAAACATCTCGTTATAAGTGCTCATCAGAGCTCAATTTTTTCCAACCAACATTGTTGCGCTGTAGCACTCATTGTCCCACGCTTAGTTATTTTACACATCTCTTTATTTCTCTCTCTCTCTCTCTCTCCCTTTGTCTCTCTTTCTATCACTTTAATCGAGTCCTCACTCCCAGTCCTTCTCCTATGCCTATGCCTCGCTTGGTTATTTTACTCATTTTTATAACAATAATATAAAATGCTTTCTTAATAATTATTATTTTATATTACCAAAATATTATTAATGTATTTGTTTATATCTATGTTATGATGTTTAGATTGGGATGGGATTTCAATTGAATTAATTAATAGTATATTTTGTGGGGCTGGAACGAATTAATTGGTCTTTAGTTATTTTTAATGGGAAAAATGCAGTCGAGATACTAGTGGATTGACATACAAGTTAAACTTGTATCTCAAAGCCCCACTGTACATATATATACATATATATACATACATATGTGTGATTAGAAAAAACTGAATCTTAGGAATATTTGATAAATTTCGATCACTGCCATTAGTTGCACATGATTAGTGTTGCCAAAAGTCCCTTAAAAACAAATCCTATATTTAGAAAGAAATATATGCATCCCATTGAGCTGAATAGGAACGCACTCCCGTTTTACTGCGGGAATCAAACACCACCTCAGTCAATATAAGGATAAGTTCCTTATCAGTGGCAAACTAAGCACTGGAAGGAGATAATGCAGACCATGGCATATTACATTGCTAATCATATGCTGCCACTCCACCCTGTAGAATGGTGAGTTTCCAACTAATGAAAGAATGGACCTAAGATAACGTTAACCATCTAGAAAACATTTCCGTGAAAACATGCACTAAGGTGTAACATTCAAGTCACAGATTAATTTGTTTAATAATAATCATTGCTGTGACTTAAATTATTTGTCCTGTTAAATGTGTCTGTGCATTGTGCAGCAAGAGTTATCAATAAACTATTAACACATTGGTTGATCGGTCACTAATGTCTTACTACTTACTATTACTACTAACTTATTATTATTACTATTATAACTACTATTAACTTGTGTTTTTTGCCAATATCACCAAATTTTAATATATATATAATTTTTTATATAATACATAAAATAAGTTAGTTTTAATTTTATTTCTACGCTAGACATTTGGCCAATGAAATGTATTTTTGCCAATATCACCAAATTTATATATATGTGTATATGTGTGTATGTATGTGTTTATATACATACAGTACATAATTACATACATACATGTGTATGTATGTGTGTATTTGTGTATGTATTGTATCACAAATCTATCTATATGTACACATCTATAAAAAATATGTACATACATACATATATGACGTAAATATAGACATATACATACATACATGTATATGAATGGATACATATATTTGACCAATGTACCTGTTTTAATCATTTCTACCCTGTCAAAAAGTACAGATCAAACAGCTTTATCTTTGGCAATAGACATAAATGATGATATGTATCATGGTTATTAACACAGAATTTATTCTCTCTCTCTCTCTCGCTCTGTCCCTCACACATGCACACACACACACACATCCACTTTAGTCTTCAGTGTGTTTCTGGCCCATGCAGTCAAATGTCATTTACCAGCAGGCTGTACGAATATGAGTCATTATTCAGCAAACTATAGCACTGATGGATCATGAAGAACCCTTACAAAGTGCCATGTTTACGCCCACCCCCCATGTTCCACATGGTCACCATTACAACTCCATATCTCTGTGTTGTTCTCGAGGTCTACAGTGAGGTTCATTTAGCTAGAAATTTAATTTCTGCAGACAGACACAAACACACGTCCTCTTAGTATTAATTCTGTAGTAGGGTTGATCATTCAAATCCAATTGAATAATTAAAATATTCCCCTCACACGCACCCAGGCTTGGTTGTACACAGGCAGACAGAGAAAGTAAGAAACCACACACGCACAACAGCAGCATCTTGTTGCTTGTACACAGGCAGACAGAGAAAGTAACCACACACGCACAACAGCAGCATCTTCAGAAGCAGCGGTAGTGTGGACGTAAATAACAGGGGAAAGGATTGTCAGGCAAATGTGTTTATCCGAGCAGGACACGCGACCATGACGAAAACGTGACTTCACCTCCACCAAGACGTGTCAGCAGTGCGGCTGTTACTGCTCTCTCAACAAACAGCCATCCATCCATCAATCCATCCATCACACAAAGGACGATAAGCAGGCCCATACCAGCTGATGTTAGCCAATGGAGGTCTGTGCGTATTTCCTCTGCGCTCCTCCTGCCTGTATGCTTCTCTTTAATTTCTGTAGGCACCCGCAGCGCCTAGGAACCAGCGCATAGACCAAAAACAAAATAGGAGGAGGAGGAGAAAGACACGATCAGGAGTAGGAGGAGGTAGACCAGAAGCATCACCTTCCCTTTCTCATGTCTCATCATTCAGCACTGAAAACACGTTGCCTCCTCTGGCACACAGCACTGAGGCACGCCCACCCCCTCCTCTTCACATGCTCTCTCTCTCTCTCTCTCTCTCCCTCTATCCATCCTTCTTTGACGTACACACAAAAACAGCATTCCTATTCCCTTTCCCTGCCTACACACTCCCAGACAGAAAAACAACAAGGAGAGGCCCAGTGGTGGTGACGTCATGTCGTGCAGTATCCTAGAGCCTTGAGCCCAGCTCCACCCACCTCTCCTCGTATTTGATCGTTTGTATAGAGCTTCACCAATTTCAATAGGTTTCCAATAATATCATAACACTGGCTGTGATGCATGCATGGGATGTCCATCATTTCCTCCTCAGAACCATCAACCAAAATATAAACATCTCCTTAGCTAATATAAAACAAATTAGTTTTTGTAGTAAGTAGTAGTTATTTTAAGTGAACTTACATTACATATTTACACATTTTTTTACCTAAATGACCTTATAATAGGTGTATCACTCAATGTACATGTGTATGCATACGTAGATGTAAAGGTGGTTTATTTAATAGTTTTTTTTTCCCTCAATGTATATATTTGCTCTCTCTAGACTTTATTTTGCTTTTTATGATCTAAAATGTTTTCAAGTAAGCCTAAATCTAAAATTATAATAGTTCAAAGCTAAATAGGACTAGCTTTTCGAATGCAGATAGTAATTTGAGGTTATTCAACTACTACCAACACATGACATACATCTGTACACCTTACAACAGCTTCCTGTTAAAGCAAACATCTGGCGCCTCGTGAACAAACGTTGCGTATGCACACACACGCACACAAAATAGAAAGATAGGTAGATCCCAAAGGGAGTTCCCTTCGGTAGATTTAGACTCCAGCAGCAATACAGCACCAAAACAACAGTATAAAACACACGAATAGATAATGTGTACGGAGCTCCAAAAAGGGATATGTGGGGAAAAAAAGAAAAGGAAACGTATCTCGTGCTCACGAGAAACCCTAGGTTAAGCACGTCATGTGTGACATATGTACTGTACATATGGTGAGCATTTAATTAATGTAGGGTACCTCAGTTAGACACAGGAGGGCACTGTTGTTGTTGTTATTAGACTGTTGATAACAGTGTGGGAGGTTCGTGAAGGGTAAATAAGTATATACGTAAATCATTAATAACTATCTCGACTCTACTTCGCGAATTTTCCCATTTCTTGGGTCTTGAAAAGCAACGACTGCGATAGGAGAGGCACCGGTGAATTTCGTGATAGTTTTCACGTAATAACGTGATGTCTGTAAAGCACACTGAGTTTGCTTTGTGCATGAACTGCGCTCTATGAATAAAATTGAAACCAGTGAAAGTCCATCTGCGAGCCCAGAATATGGCTCGTTTACACGATTCAGTTGAATTGTACTTTATGCTTGGCTTGAGGCATGGTGAGATTTTACAATTATTGTGCTCAGTGGATGAGATTTTTATCAGTATGCGTACTCTCAGAAGGATGAGGATGAAGGATGAGGATGATTTACGTATATAATACGTATAAGTATTTACCCTTCACGAACCTCCCTACACTGTTATCAACAGTCGAACAACAACAACAACAACAGTGCCCTCCTGTGTCTACACGAGGTACCCCACACTAATTAAATGCTCACCATATATACAGTACATATGTCACGCATGACATGCCGGTATCTTAGATTTCCCAATTGTACGTACTGTACATGATTGTTTTATTTTTTTAACGTATTACCTTGTATGTATGTGTGGCAAAATGTCTTAGATATACTTTCGCGTGAGCACGAGAAAGTATATCTAAGACATTCTGCACACTCTAAATAGATGCGTAAATAAATAATTAAATTAGATAAACAGTTAGCCATGTAGGCAGTTCCAGCAGATATATTAGTGCAGTGGTTCTCAAACTTTTTATACTCCGTACCACCTGAGAAAACACTGGGCTCTCTGAGTACCACCATGATGACCAACATTAGAATGTAGAAACATTAGCCTTCCCTATTAGCTTCCACCACACAGGGGAGATGTTTATAAATGTTTATAAAGATGTTTATGTTTAAATGTTGTATTAATTGTGCTTGGTATATTTCAGATTTATTCAATTGAAAATGTAAATGTGAAAATATGAATTGTCCCCCCACAGTTTGAGAACCACTGTATTAGTGTATGATGTCGACCAGATTTATACAACCATTATTACTAAGAGCTATTATACATATATAATATATTATATAGGATAGATAGTAGTAATATATTTATACACAGTATAAGTTAGAAATATGCATATACTGTATATACATACACATACATGCGCTCACATCCACATGTATGCAGTATATATACATATGCACACACCCCCATACATATATACCTACACACATGTACTGTACATATACATCAAATATGCATACAGACATACACATACATCAGCATTGCGTGAGCAAGTGAACTACTTGTCATTGTGACACAGCACACCACTGCACACAACAAATGTGACCTCTGGTTTTAACCCATTGCCAAAGTGAACAGTGGACAGCTTTAAGCGCCCGGGGAGCAGTGTGTGGGGACGGTGCCGTGCTCAGAGCACCTCAGTGGTAACTTGGCAGCTGGTGGTCGATCCTGAAACTTTCCTTAACCACCAAGTCACCACTGGTGCACTGCCACACATACATAAACATATGCCTATAATAGCATATAAAGTAGAAATACAGTGGTTTATTGAAATATAATAGTAATGCAAATAGAGATTGTGGTTATTGCACTGAAATTATTGTTGGGTTATTGCACTTACTCCCTTATCCACTAGTCATTTGGTCGCCCTCCTGCCACCCAGTGAAGAGTTAAACAGTTTAATTACCCGGTGGACGAAGGAGTTTTTAAGTCTGCTAGTCCTGATCTTCGGAAGGAGGAGCCTGTCACTGAACAGACTCCTCTGATTGCGTATTGTCCAAGATGGCGAGCAGTTTACCAAGTGTTCTCTTCTCTGCCACTGTCACCAGAGGGTCCAGGTTGATGTCCACCACAGAGCTAGACTTCCTGATCAGCTTCTCCAATCTGTGTAAGTCCTTCTTTGATGTGCTGCTCCCCCAGCACACCACGGTGTATAAAATAATGCTGGCAACTACAGACTGGTAAAACATTTTCAGGAGCTTCCTGCAGATGTCAAAAGACCTGAGCCTCCGCAGGAAGTACAGTCTACTTTGGGCCTTCTTGTACAGCTGCCCACTGTTGTGTGCCCAGTCCAGCTTGTTGTCCAACTACAGCCCAAGGTATTTATAGATCTCCATGACCTCCACCTCATGACCCTCGATAAGAACTGGTCGGAGTTCGTGTTTGGATTTCCCAAAGTCTATGACCAGCTCCTTGGTCTTGGAGGTGTTGAGCTGCAGGTGACTGGATTTACTCCATACAACAAAGTTCCTCATGAGGCAAATGTACTCTTACTATTGTCTCTAATACACCCTACGATGGCTGTGTCACCTGCAAACTTCTGGATGTGACACAGCATGGAGTTGTACCAGAAGTCAGAGGTGTATAGGGTAAAAAGTAGAGGGGACAACACCAATGTTGCTGATGTTGATGACCACAGTGCCAGAGGTGATGTCATTCAGCCTGACATACTGTGGTCTGTTCGTGAGGTAGCTGGAAATCCAGGCAACAAGACAGGAGTCCACTTCGTGTCAGTTTATCCTGGAGTGCAAGTGGCTGAATGATGTTGAAGGCGCTAGAAAAATCCAAGAAGAGGATTCTTACGGTTCCACTCCCACTTTCTAGATGTGACTGGGCTTGGTATAGGAGGTAGAGGACGGCATCCTCTTCACCAACCTCTGTAGGCAAACTGTAGGTTGTCCTGGGCATGTTGCACCTCCGGGACAACCTACAGTTAGAAGGTTTAGGAAGAGCCGCTTCAGAGTCTTCATCAGGTGTGATGTGAGCGCCATGGGTCGGAAGACGTTCAGCTCGCTAGGCAGGTTCTTTTTGGGAACTGGGACGATGCAGGATGTCTTCCAGATGGTTGGCACTCTCCCTAGAAGACTTCGGTTGTAGATACATTGAAGCGGCTCCGCAAGTTCAGCAGCACAGGTCTTCAGTAGTGGTGGACACACCTTCCTCAGTTCTCACCTCACTTGGTTGGCTGTGATGGGGGGGAGGGGATGTTGTGAAGGGGGCAGGGGAGGAGGAGAGGCAAAGGAGGAGGGAAGAGAGGAAAGGGAGGGGCGGATGTGATGGGGAGACAGGAGAGGAAGGAAGAAGGGATAGAGGGGAGGGGGAGAAGAGGAGAGGAAGAGAGGAGGAGGAGAGGAGAGAAGGATGGGTTGGGGGGTGGGCGTTATGGGATGGAAGTA